TTTGTACTTTGTGATCAACAAACAAACTTAGGGCTGCACGATAAATCGCATGTGATTGTCATGCGCATCTCGTCAGTAAAGCCGGTTCTGTGATTAATAGTAAATCTCCATCACGTGCTTTCAGATGGAGCGGCATTTAATACACAGAGCCGTAGATCACTGCTATATCGCATTCATAATCGCAGATGAGTCACATTAGATTATGAACGCGATATTGCGTAGCTTGTCAGCGTAAGTGTTTTTATTAATGCCATTTATGTTTTTGTTAATACAGCGTATAGCACTAGTCAACTAAATGAATGTAACATGGCAAAGATGAATGCACTTTTGGAAGTTGAATGTAAAGGAAAAGTCATTTTGGAATTTCTGTGGTTTGTATGTTCATGATGAAATTTTCTTTTGTTGTAATTAATTTACAGCATTAATAAGATGACCCGTTGAATTCATTTTGGGAGCGATGACTGATTGAATGTATTTTTAGTCCAGTGCCTGTATATAAGATTAGTATTGACCAAGTTCAGAGGCTGTCATATGTGGATCAACTTACTATGTTGTGTATTTTCAACAGTTTTAATATGAAAAATAACTTTTATATTGATTCAATGGATTTATTGCATTTGGGAGAAAAAAAAGAGTCATGGATTTATTGCATTTTGGGGAAAAAAATAATAAAATTGTCTAATAAATCTTTGAAAATCTAAATCTGGATTTGATTTTTTTATGTTATTATAACCTAAAGATGCTATGTGAAAGTTTGAAACAGAAAATAGTGGTTTTCATCTTGCCACTTTGTTGGTAAAGAAAACACATTTTACTCAAATTAATCAAAATGGATTTATAGCATTTTGGAACCAAACTCTTCAGTTATACTGCACAATTTCTAATCATTTATTTAAAATAGAAATCTTTTGTAACATCAAACATTTTCTCACTTTTAACCAATGTAATGCTTGCAGAATAAAAGCATTATTATTTTTTTTTTTTATATTTTAAAAAAATCGTACTGACCCCAAACTTTTGAACGATAACTTTGATTAATACTGTCAAAAAAAAAAAAAAAGAAGCAGAAATAAGATTAAAAAAAACAAAAAACAAACTACAACTATTATAAGAGATATTGTATGACTTTAGGTGATTTGGAATATATTGCATGAGTCAGATGGTTGGATTGTTTGTTTGTATGTTTATTTATTTATTTATTTTTATTTTATGTTATTATTATTATTACTTAAAAGTGTGAATCAGTGGTGAACCGGTGTTACCTGAGGCTAGCAGACTATCACTGGAGTCTGCTCTTTCTTTCGTGTCCCTGACATAAAACGTGAGGTTTGCAGGTTTGGGGTACCTCTCCCCAGGCTTCTGAAGATTTTCCAGATAACCATTTAGCCTTTTGAGGGAGTTTTCATTCACTTCCTACAACAGAGAAAACCAAACAATATAAAACACTCACACCTGCTCTGCAGAGAGCTGTGGAAAATATAATATTAATAGAATATAAATAGAATATATTAACATACATCATATATTATTATCATACATTGTCATTATGTAGTTTAGGTATATAATAAAAATTCCATTTAAGGTTTATAAATATTATAATAATTTAATTATTATCACTCTTTCTCTTGGATGCTGGCCAAAGAAATCAGGGTGTACTGCAAAGTAAAATGGCCGCAGGGCATTAATGGCATCCGCTCCTGAGAGATTCCTCCTCTGAACGATACGAGCAGAAGCACATCTACCACCAAGCCTGTCAGAATGAGGACGATATTGGTTAGATGCTTAAAGTATACAACATAATTCAACAAAATGTTCTTTGCTGTTTGGGTAAAACTTACCTAACATAACGCTGGAAGGTGGTCACATACATCTCGTTAGTTCCTTCTGGTAAGAGAAATCAAGGAACATGAGAAAGAAAAAGCATGACAGACTTCAGTCTCTCCAACTGTCCAAATCAGAGGACAAACGTTATACTGCATATCCTCCATGGTGTATGCATAATTATATATCTTTAAATAAACGTCTTTAAAATCTCATTTAAAATACAGTTATAAAAAAGTTATATTGTTTAAAAAATGATTATAACTAGTGCTGTCAAACGATTAATCACATCCAAAATAAGTTTTTGTTTACATAATATATGTATGTTTACTGTGTTTATTTATTATGTATATATAAATACACACACATACAGTATATATTTTGAAAATACTTACATGTATATATTTATATTATATTTTATATTATATATAAATATATTTAATATATAAACAACATATTTTTCTTAAATATATACATATATATATACACATAATAAACACAGTAAACGTACATATATTATGTAAACAAAAACTTTTATTTTGGATGCGATTAATCGCATGACAGCACTAAATAACGTAAAATAAACGTTTTCTATTTTGATATAGTTTAAAAATCAGCCGCTACTCCAGTTTTCATGTCACATACAGTAAGCCTTCAGAAATCATTCTGATATGCTGATTTGGTGCTCAAGAAGCATTTCTTATTATAAACTGAATCCAGTTGTGCTGTGTCATATTTCTGTGGAAACCGTGATCCATTTTTTAAAGATTCTTTCATTAATAGAAAGTTTAAAAGAATTTATTTGCAAAATACAATTTGCTGTAACAATGTAAAAATCTTTATTGTCAATTTTGATCAATTTAATAAAAAGTATCGATTTCTTTAAAAAAAAAAAAATCTTACTGACCTCAAACTTGTTTCATAACACAATGAAAATTATTCTAAACAAATATAAACAGCTATATTCTAAATTCTTAAAAGTAATGTTAGCCACCCTTTTACGACCCGAGTTTTGAGGAATACACAGAATTTCAAAAATACAGATTTTTTTATTCATAAATATCCCAAAAGTCCATACTCTGTGAGATCAACTGCACCTCCTTGTATGCATGGACTGACTTTTATTTTATTTTATCTAACTTTTTATTCTTAATGGCCAGGTACACCCCCCCAATGCAAATTCATGCAAATATAACATCAGGATATATGGTTGAACAAGAATAAAATCTTGACTGGACTTGAGCAGAGACTGTTAACTCAGGTCAGGTGTTCTTGACCTAACGTTATACTGTTGAGAATGTAATCGTACTCCTCTTGATTTACACAAATTAACGTTAAGCCAGAAAAACCAACACGACGAGAAACATTTCCACCCAAAACAAAATACTATCCATTAAATTTTAGAGCCATTAGATTTAATCAGCATTCAATACACTCAACACACAAATACTGATAAACAAGGACAAACACAAACTCAAAGCGCTCTTAAAATAAAAGCAACAGTCCCAGGCTTAATCAGCCACACACACAATTTATGTCAGCATGAGATACTCATGTCCAAAACACTAAAATTATTTACCTGTGATTTTGCAATCTTACATGTTCGCTGTGGTTAAAACTCAACCTGAACTCATGTACTCCATTCAGGCCTAATCATCCAGGCAAGAGTAATCAACTGCATATCTCTGGAAAACAAGCGCAGCTGGCGGCACATGAATCAGACAGAACTAATCATCTGCCCATCTTTGCTCTGTTTGTAGAGCGCGATCTGCCAGTACTGGCGCCATCTATAGGTTATTTTAGGATTATCATTACAGTGTTTTTCAGCTGCTTACACACATTTTCAAAACTTTGCCTCTTTTTTCCCCCCAAAAGTTTACACACAAATCCAAGAACTGCACTCACAAAATGCAAAATGCCTCACATCTCTTGCAAAGTGAAGCACTGCATTCAAAATATCACAAACACGTCTCAAAAGCAAACATTTACAAACACCTTTACCATAATATTAATTCCTGTTCGATGTGTGTGTGTGTGTGTGTGTGTGTGTGTGTTTGTGTACCTACTTAACCATATTTTGGGGACAAATTTGTACCTAAAACTGAGCTAAACCTGTCAAAATCTCCAAAAAACCTCCCTTTTGGGGAAGTCCTCATTTGTAAAACTGGTATAAAAATAAAGTAAACTAAGTTTTTTTCAAATGGTAAAAATGCAGAAAGTTTCCTGTAAGGGGTAGGTTTAGGTGTAGGGTTGGTGTAGGGTGATAGAATATACAGTTTGTACAGTATAAAAACCATTACGCCTATGGAATGTCCCCATTTAGATAGCTAAGTAAACATGTGTGTGTGTTACATAGAGAAATGTGTGTTGTGTTTTGCAAAAAATTTTTTATGAAAAGTCAAAGGCCGAGAATTAGTGTATGGTTTTGCAGATTTGGTGTGTGTTTCTGGCGTTTGAGTGTCAGGTTTCAGAAATTGTGTGACAAGTAAAGATTTTGGGTGTAAGCAGTTGAAAAAAACTGTAAACTCCAAGATATGTTTGAGCTATTCAAAAGGGAATAAAAGAAGGCTGCAAGATTTGTGATTTGTGATTATTGATTTAATTAGCTTAAAATATATATATGTATAGCCTAGTGGATTTTTAACTTTTTTGATATGCCACTGACTTCAGATTTGAGGCTAAAACATAAAGGAAGGTCTTAATAATGTTAATGCAACAATAATGACATAATCATAGTTATTAATTATTGTTTGATGTTTTTGTTTCATAGCCTATAGCTTATGTTCATGTGCCCGTTTAGTCATTTTTATTACAGAAGATACCTATACATACATATAGCCTATACTTTGTGTACACATTTTTGTGTGTTTTTGAAATACATGTGGGTTATAGTTTTCATTTACTGACTTATGTGATTCATGTAATTTATTATTCCCATTGTAGCGTTACTTGATTTGTGTACCACCTTCTGCACATTTGTATTTGTTGTGCTGTTATATATTCTATGTATGTTCTATGCATTTACATTGCAATATTGCTTCACTGTTTTGATAAAGACTTTTATTGGTTGGTGGTGCTACCCTATGCCATTTAAGTAATCAAAAAGTGTTAAATAAATGTAATGTTAAATAAATGTCTTATTGTCATTAACCTTTTTGTATAGTAGAGCCTCAATTTCTTAAAAGAAAAGAAAGAAAGAAAAACATGATGCAAACTCTTGAATGTTACTGTGTATTGTTCATTCTTATTGCTGCTTTAAATTTTATATTTAAAACATACTGTTACACTTTTAGGCCCGGTTTCACAGACGGGGCTTAGACTAAGCCAGGATTAGATCATAGTTCAATTAAGACATTTAAGCAATTTTGATAAACATGCTTAAAAAAAAAACATTACTGGTGTGCATCTTGAGACAAAACAAAGGCACTGATATATTTTAAGATCCGTCAATGCAAGTTTCTTTCAGTTGAAACAGCTCAGACTTACATTTTACTCTAGGCTAAGCCTTGTCTGTGAAACCGGGGGTTAATGTTATATGTCAAACAAATGTATTTTTTATGGCTACAACTAAGAGACTAAATCCTCTTCCTTGTACGTTTCGCCTTTATTTTCTCCTTGCTTCTCTTATACTTTAACAAAAGGTGCCCCAATTTGTGTCAAGTCATCTTAAACACAGTTTCTGGCAGAAACTTTCTGTTGTAACACATTGCAACGTGCCAATAACAGGAATACTTGTTGGGAACACTGTAAACCTGCGAGATGAAAGTGGAATAATGCTGATGCATTCACTGTAAGAATGAATTCTGTAATAGTGTGACTGTCACAGGCGTACAGTAGCTAAAGGCGATAACCACTGGCAGACATGTCATGCACATCTTGACTGCTGTTCTCAGCAGGGTCAGAACACATCTGGTCACTCTCCAATGACCAGAGCAGGACTCACAAATCAGATTGTAGAAATCTTTGATATGGCACCAGTGCGGCTGCCGAAACATTGAGCAGAGACAGCGGCGGCATCAGTGACAGGACCCTGAGAGACACATGCTGCTGTCCTTTGAGGAAGTGTTGTGCTGGAGCTGTCAGAAGTGGCATCAGCAGCTCTTCTCGGGTCATTTTATGCATGTTTCATGTAGGTGAGGTGTCTGCTGCTGTTGGAAAAGAGGAGAGAGTGTGTTGATGTCTGTGTGTGCAGTGAAACCATAGTGGCACACTGTTATTCAGACTAGGACAATAGGAACAGACATTTCATTGTGTTTTGTGGTTACTGAAGGACTACAGTAGGTATATTCAAGTCAGCTGTAATGTAAAGTGTATATATTGTCTAATAATCTTTTCACATTGTTGGGGAGGTTAAGATGGCCTGTATCCACTAGATGGAGCAATAATGACACTTAGATCTACTTTGAATATGATATTTGTGACCCTGGACCACAAACCTTGTCAGAAGCAGCATGGGTATATTTGTAGCAATAGCCAACAATATATTGCATGGGTCAAAATGATCGATTTTTCTTTTATGCCAAAAATCATTAGGATATTAAGTAAAGGTCATGTTCCATGCAGATATTTTTTTCTCAATATTTAGATTTTTTTTTTTTTGCGCCCTCAGATTCCAGATTTTCAAATAGTTGTATCTCAGCCAAATATTATCATGTATCAATGGAAAGCTTATTTATTCAGCTTTCAGATGATGCATAAATATTAATAAAAAAAAAAATTGACCCTTATGGCTGGTTTTGTGGTCCCGGGTCACATTTATGGCTACTATGATGATGATGATGATAAGGAGAAGAAGAAGAAAAAGAAGATGTTGATAGAAAATATAAAGGTAAGACAACATTTTTAAAATAAATTAAAATTATTATTATAATTTTGAAGTTTGTGTTCAACTGATTTTAATGTGTTTTATTGAATTTATTGATATAATTGCTAATAAAAAATGGTAACAACTTAGTTTAGTGACCAATTCTCACTATTAAATAATTGCTTATTAGCATGACTATTATTAATATATTGGCTGTTAATTAATACTTATAAAGCACATATCTGCATAACTATATTTTCCCTTACTCTTACCCCATACATAAATTTAACTACTATCTTAATAACTATTAATAAGCAAATTGGGAGTTTATTGAGGCAAATATAGTTAATAGTTAATATAATGAGAATTGGTCCCCGGTCCTAAAGTGTGACGAAATAAATAAAATAAAACAAAATAAAAGCTTCAATATCTTTTTTTCTCATTTTGAATGAAGAAAATGAAAACACAGTCACTTTATTATCTTTTATTATACCTTTTTTTTTTGTTTATTATACAGTTTTTAATTGAATTTTATCATTATACATATTAAGTTCCAATATACTTCTGCTGCATAAAAAAGACGTTTAAAAAAATCATATGACAAGACATTAGAGTTTACCTTGGCTGCTAAACAAATATTCAAGTACCATTCTAATCTCTCAATGATATTACATTTATGTTGTTAATATCAACAGTCACTGTAATTTAATTAACTGAACTACTACAAAACACACAACCACAAAAATACACCAAAACCTCTGTAAGTTCAGAGCAGAAAATATACAGCATCTCTACTCCATACGTCTTCATCTGTCATCAGCAGACACAGGTTCATTTTTATGACATATGGTGGGAAAGCTGCATCCTCTCACTGGGTCAACTGACAGGTTCATATGCGAGTGTGTGAATGGTGTCGTTGTGTGTGATGAGGTGAGACCCTGGTGTTGTGAAGAAGCCGTACCCTTTCACCACGGCGGCCTGATTCACAACACCAGCTGCCCTGCCCCATCATCGAAGTCTGAACACATCATTCATCACTGTCTTCCTCTATGCGGATCCACCTGTCAATCAAATGAAAAACAAAAAAAAAAACATCACATATGCACCCTGGACTGATATTAGTCAATTGTACTAATCATATTTAGATAAAACTACAATTTAAACACAACTGACGCTGTCACCTTTGGCTTTTTGATTGTAGTATTTAAAACGTTTTCTGTAAAGCAGCTCTGAAACTATTTGTATTGTGAAAAAGTGCTATACAAATGAACATGAATTGAACTGAACATAGCAATATATTCCTACACTTAAAAAAAAAAAAATCTATCCACAAAAATAGGGCACTACCTGTATTTTGAATTGTGCACTAAATTGCATTATGTTTTAGAGTTGATGGAAATGTTTGTAAAATGAATGGATCATGTACTGGCAGAAAAGTACATTTTCTCTCTGTGTGTGTTTACACTATAGGACGTGCATAAAGAAATACAGAGATGCACTTACAAATTTAGTTGATTTATGTCAGGATTACCAAAACCAAAAGTGATGTTTTGCATTTTCTTGAATGTTCTATATTTTATTTGAGATCTTTATATATTTTTTGCATTCTTGCAGAACAAACAAAACTAACTTCATAATAACGCAAAATTAATTAACAAAAAATAAAAATATTCAATATAAGTTTTGAATTCTATAAGACATTAACATTTTACTTTAAATATTGCTGAAAGAATAGCAGTGAAAGGACTGTATTATTTTAAATAAAAATAAAATATTTAAAAATATATTATGCACCTTTTCCTACTGGAACATGGCTGATAAGTGCAAATTCATTCATTCATTCATTCATCCGTCCATC